ACGCGTTCCACATTATAACGGTGCACTGCATTCCCCGTTATAACTGTGTACGCGTTCCACGTTATAACGGTGTACGCGTTCCACGTTATAACGGTGTACGCGTTCCACGTTATAACGGTGTACGCATTCCACGTTATAACGGTGCACGCGTTCCACGTTATAACGGTGCACTGCATTCTCCGTTATAACGGTGTACGCGTTCCACATTATAACGGTGCACTGCATTCTCTGTTATAACGGTGTACGCATTCCCCATTATAACGGTGCACGCGTTCCCCGTTATAACAGTACACGCGTTCCCCGTTATAACTGTGTACGCATTCCCCGTTATAACGGTGCATGCGTTCCACGTTAGTACAGTGAGCACACAAATGGATGCCGGAGGAATCCCATGAGCTGCAAAGTTATTTTTTTTCCCCTCGCAAGCCACAGATGTCCAGCAGGGGGCGCGTGGTCCCCAAGCCAGTACGACGAACAAGAATGAGGATGGGAGGGGGGAACCACGATCGGAGCGCACAGCGCTGTCTCTAGTGGGGGGGGGGGGGGGGGGTCGAGAAAACCACGTGGACCCCTCCCACCCACCATCGCGACGCCTTTAAACTAAACCGGAAATATTGTATCTGACGCCGTGACGTCCACGCGCTGGGCCCCCCAAAGCGCTGGGCCCCCTAAAGCAGCTCCGGGAGTGCACCTGCAACCGCCAGCTACCATTCACTAGCGCCAGCACGCTGCTGATCAGCCCATGGTCTGCCTGACCCCAGCGCGAACTCAAGATCCTCCAAATCGGGAGACGGAGAGCCACGGTGGCGAGGAACTGCCTCGCCGAGCATACAGGATGTCGGTGGGTTCTGATTCCAAACCTGACGATGCCTGCTGTATGTTGCGTGGATTTTTGTCCACAGTTAAAATCGAAGTATTTGGCTGCTGCTAGAAATGGCCACGCGACGGCGATGATGATGCCAATTCGTCCAGCTGTTATTTGTGATGGCCAGGTCGCTTGTGAAATAATGATCTACGTAGCAGCTCAGTGAGCCCCTTACCTGTTAATAAAAATAATTGTTTATTTAATAAAATAATTTAGTTACATTTACATAAAATTGCACAAAGAGACATAAAATTGCACAAAGAGACGGAAAAACGAGCACGTGGATCGGAGTACGATGCACAGACACGCCACGGCTCGATAGGACGGTAGCCTACGGCCACGCGAATGGAATGGCAGCCAGGGAATGGAACGCGTCCGGAGAGGAAGTCCGACCCGAGAGACGGAGTGATGGAATCGGTTTGCGTGTGTGCAGCCATGAGGCACATTGCCACAAGACCACAGGCTCACGAATGGGTGGCAGCAGCTTGAGGAAGCCTTCATCCAGCAGTTGATTGATCATGGCCGATGATGACGAAATACATATTGCCAATGCGAGAGTGGGCGAGTGGGGGAATGAGGGAGCGGGTCAGGGAGGGAGAGAGTGAGTGAGTCGGTGAGGGAGTGAGCGAGTTAGTCGGTGAGGGAGGGAGTGAGGGAGGAAGTGAGCTCATCTCCTCACTTGTTCCTCAGCCTTGATGGGTCTCCTGCATGAGAAGACGTGCAGGCGGTAGCAGGCCGTCCGCACGACGTCCAGGGGCACTAGCGGCAGAACGTCCACGATGGCCGCCACGCCGGAGGAGGGCATCACGCACAGCACGCTCCGAGACAGCAGCCGATCCATATCGAGCAGGAACGAGTGCTCCACCAGCAGCTCCACCAGTCGCCTGGGGATGAGAGGTGTGGGTGGTTGGGGGTCGGTGGCGTGGGGGGGGGGGCACGGTGAGCCCATGGGGAGGGCTCCACAGCTGTTGCTTCTGGCAGCAATAAAAGTTGTTTAAAAGTCAAAAGTCTCTCTCTCGCCCGCTCGCTCTCTCGAGAAACCGGCACCGTCACCGCAGACCTTGCCGCCCATCGAAATTCATTCAAACACCCCTCGCTCTCGCGCTCTCTCTCCGTGCCGTCGCCAATGTGGTCGCTCGCCCAACGTGGTCGCAGCACCTACCGCTTGCCCTCCTCGTCTTGGCGGATGTGATTCCTCGTGTCGACGTACGGGATGCCCTCAAGCCCGGCCCAGATGTCCTCCTGCTGTTCCTCCTCCTCCTTCACGACGGGGCCAAAGGGCTCCACGTGCCCCCTCAGCAAGTGGAGCACAGGCAGAGTCAGGAGCCAGTCGACGACCCCGGCCGCGATGCAGCGTGCACAGAGGCCGACCAGCACGGCGACAGGCCTGGGTGGGGTAGGGTGGGCGGTTGGATGTTGGGGGGTGGGGGGGGTGTGTAGTGGTGGGACGTCCATGTAATTGTAAAGGAAAGCCGACACAAGGTTGCAGGGGGTTCGTCTTTTATTCCTTTTCTCCAGTCCACACGTGTCCCCAGCCGTCTTAATCTCGTTCCTGCCAAGATCCCCTCTTCCCACCCGTTCTCACTTCTATCTCCTCGCTTGCTCCTACCGTCCCACTCCCCTTCCTATTGGTGGGAATCCTTCCCCTGACATCCCTTCCATAATTAACACGCGGTAGTTGTTTTCGGTGTCGGTCCAGCGTCTTGTATCGCCAGCGGACTAAGGTCCCATTGCTTTGCCTCCTTGCGCCATGACGGGTCCTCGATGCACGCCTACGTGCATCTCGCACCGTGTGGGGCAAGGGGGGTGAGCCGGGCTGTGGACGCGAGCGGGCACGCGCACATGGCGTGGAATTTCGAAACGAACCCGCGGGCGAGCGTTGGACTCGCCGAGCGATGCGGACAAACACCGGAGTTGGGGACCGACAGAGGCCAAGTTTGGGGGGGGGGCGGTCTGTGGGCCTAGCGTTGGTGTTGTGGGTCTATTGAGCGAGATTCGTTCATGTTCGTCGGCATGCGGGTCGTAGATGGACGGGAGAGACTGTTTCCACCTACCACCAACACCACCAATGCCACCACCAGGAGCACCAAGACAAAGATCATCCGTATTGGCTGTATCGAATTTCGGGGGCAAGCGCTGTTAGCAAAAAGCAGCTCCTATAAAGGGTGGCACGGCATGCGAAGGCAAGGGTGGCCAGCACCACGCCTGCCCGCCTTTGTCTCCCCAGTGGCGATGTTTATACATTGCACCAGGTACTCATTTGAGGCTGAGTCGACCTCGGGGAAGCCTAGGACTGGTTCAGATAATCGTCACTGGTGTTGGTGGCCGTGAGCGGGAAATGTTAACTCCCTCGCCTGGTATTAGGGAAATCTATGTCAGATTCAATACATTACACAAAATCCGTGATCTAATCCCATCTGTGAAGGAGGTCATTCCTGACATGCAATATCCTGGAGTCTACAAACTGAGTTGTACCTGCGGTAGCAGTTACATTAAGGAAACGAAACAACATGTCTCTGACCGTGTTCGCGAACACAAGGCAGATCTGAAACACGGCAGAACCAATATCTCTGCCGTGGCTGGCCATTGTTATAACGCTGTGGGCTCGCATGATATTGTTTTTTTTCCGAGACCAAGATACTCTGCAAACCTTCGGGCAACTATCAACGGTTTGTTCATGAAGCCATCAGATATATAAACATAGACATAACTTCAACCGAGAAGATGGATACAAAATAAGCAATCATTGGAAGGATTTTATTATTTTATGTAAAGCTTTCGTGACTGCAGGGAATTATATTCTTGGTTCTTTCGCTAAAGTCACGTATAAGGGAAAGAATAAAATAATAAAAATATAAAACATAAATTAATAAGATGTTATTTTTTCTCTTCTACGTGACTTTACCGAGAGAACCAAGAATACATTGGAAGGATGTTATTAACCAGGTAAAGCCTTGACTGTTTGTGGTTGTTTCCATCATATCTGCCGGGTACTAGTCTATTTTTCCGAGTAACTTCCCCCCGTGTCCCACACTCAGCTTCCCACTTCTAGCCCCGCCGACTTCCCCCCCAGCCTCACTTCTTCTCCCCCTAGCGCTCACGCAGCCCCCCCCCCCCTTCCCCTGCTCCACACCCCCCCCCCCCTCTCTCTCTCTCTCCCCCCTTGCTCCTCCCCATTTTCTTACCTATATAACCTCTTGCCATGGCAGCTCTCTCGCCTACTTCAGCATGTTTTCTTGCTGTGGTTGTTCCACCTGATGAAGATTGCTTGTGTTGCGATTGAAACGTCGTGATTCGTTTTATTTAATTTTATTTCTACCTACGTGACTTTACCGAAAGAACCAAAGAGTATGGAGGTCGTGGGTTCGATCCCGACCCTGACACATGTTGTATGTTTGGAGTTTGCGTGTCTCTCTTTCTCATCATCATCACGGTGGCTAAGAGATGTTAACTGCCTCGCCTGGTATACAGGAGGTCGTGGATTCGATCCCGACCCTGACGCCTGCTGCTGTATATTTGGAGTTTGCGTCTTTCTCTCTCTCATCAACACGGTGGCTAGGAGATGTTAACTACCTCGCTTGGTATACAGGAGGTCGTGGATTCGATCCCGACCCTGACGCCTGCTGTATGTTTGGAGTCTGCGTGTCTCTCTCTCTCATCATCATCACGGTGGCTAGGAGATGTTAACTACCTCGCCTGGTATACAGGAGTGGGAATCGAACTCGGGTAGCCGGGTTTGTAGCGCAACGCGTTAACTGCGACAGAACCGCTCCCCCTATATACAAATGTAGTGGCGTAAATGGAGTCACTGTGGCGTGATCTTGTGGATTTTTCTCCGGGTCCTCCGGTTTTCCTCTCCACATTTGGCTGCTGAAAAATGTTTTGCTAAGCTTAATATTGCAACACGCTAACCACTACACAACCACTCCCCACTAGGTGCCAGCAGCGGCAAGAGCACCACTAACCACCACCACCAACCACCACCAACTACCAACCACTACCGACAACCACCACTAACCACCACCAACCACCAACCAAACACCACCAACCACCACTAACAACCACCACCAACCACCAAGCACTACCAACCGACAACAACAACCAACCAACCACCACCAACCACCAACCACCAAGCACTACCAACCACCACCAACCGATACCAATCACGACCAACCACCACCACCCACCACCACTCACCTGGGGTGGACGCGCAGCTTGGCGCACGTCGCCCGGACGCTCGCCCTGCTCTGCTCGACGCTGGCACGTGGCGGCAGCGGCGCCAGCAGGCGGCACGCGATCGACAGCCATTTGGCGGGCACCGGAACGTCGCGCAGGTGCAGGAGGCTCGCGGCCAAGAGGGCCGACTGCTCCCTGGACGCGACGGAGGGGCGGCACGACGGATCGGAGCGAAACTCGGAGTGCGGTCGCAGGATCCTCACCACCAGCTCGCTCACCAGTTTGTCGACCTGCCATGCACGTGGTTGGGGGGGACGGGGGGCGGGAAGCGGGCTGTCACGTCACGCCATAGTCACCGCACCGACGTCACCGCAGCAACGTCACGATCCGCTCGTGACGTCATAGTCACCTCGGCGACGTCACAATCCGCTTGTGATGCCGTCGTCACCGCGGCGACGTCACGATCCGCTCGTGACGCCATAGTCACCCCCACAATCCGCTGATGACGCCATCGTCACCACGGCGATGTCAACTCGGCGACGTCACGATCCGCTCGTGACGCCGTCGTTTAACCACCAATCCGCCAATCGCTCCCAGACAACGTTTTGGCAATGCAGCAAGTCAACGGGGAACGGCGATTTTTCATGAACTTTATTTGTTGTGATTTCCTGGTAACCATCAGCACTAATTGTTGGGGCCTGGGCGGGGGTGGGGACGGATAGAGCACAGCGATACCGGCGATAAGGGTCGATGGCTGCCTGCCGCAAATAGGGGGCGGAGAGGCAGCCAAAGGAATGAACTGTGCCAGAGAAACCTGTCCAGCTGGAGATATGGAGCACGGCGAGCGCGGGTGGGGGCGAACCGGCGGGTCATCACCTGAGGCGGGCCGAAGTCCAGGCCATGCCAGGGTCTGTGGTGGCCATCGTGGACCCACTCCTCGCTGTAGCAGACCGCGAGCTGCTCAGAGAGCGAGTGGAACTCGTCGAGTCCAGGGCGCGTCCAGCCTTGCACGAACCCGAGGATGCGCTCGAGGTGGACTCGGCCGGAGATGCGCTTGCCCATCTCCATGTCCCTCGCGACTTTCGCCTTGTCCGCCGCGCTCCTCAGCCACCCGGCGATGCCGCCCGCCGGAGGGGCATGGATGAGGTCGTCGTACTGGTGCCAGTCCTCTGCGAGGGGGTTCACGGGGGTGAGGACGAGGAGGAATGGGGAGTGAAGCCGACTTAGATAACCCCCCTCCCCCACGGCGTCACTGAGCAACGTGGGGGCCAGAGGTCACCCTGACAGAATGAGGCTCAGGCCTGGCCTCGTGGGTTCTCACCTGGTTACACTAAAGCAACTTACTCGCCCACCCACCCACTATTTCAGTCACTCACTCGCCCACCCTCTCACTCATTCAGTCACTCACTCACTCACTCACCCACCCACTCATTCAGTCAGTCACTCACCCACCCATTCATCCAGCCACTCAACAACCCACCCACTCAGCCAATCATTCAGTAATCCACTCGCTCACCCACCCACTCACCCACTCAATCCGTCACCCACTCACTCACCCACCTACTCATTCATTCACCAACACACCCACTCACCCACCCACCCATCGAGCCGCCCCCCAGCTACATTGGTACACATGACGGACACGAAGGAGAAAGAAACCCCGCACCACCCGCCCCCCCCCCACAACTCACCCTTGCGCTGGATACACTGGTCCCAGACTTGCATGCTGCGGTTCAGGCGACCGGCCCTCGCGCCGTCGGCCTTGCAGATGAACTCGGGCGTTTCCGCGTCACCCCTGAGCAGCGCGTACCTGTAGGCGATGCGCCTGTTGTGCACGGCGCTCACGCTCACCTCCATCACGCCGTCGACGAGCAGACCGAAGTCTTTGATGAAACTAGAGGAGGTGGAGGAGTAGGGGGAGGAGGAGAAAGAGGGAGGAGGAGGGAGGGGGTGACGCGCGTTGGGATAGCGGGAGGGAGAGAGGAGGTGAAGGGTGGGAGAGAGAGAGAGATATGATACGAGTTGGGTGAAGAGTGTTCAGCTGGTCTCACGTCGCTCGCCTCCATCCACACTCCCACCTGTCACTCTCTGCTACCTCTCATCTCACTCTACTCCCCTCCGTACACTCTCCTGCCTCTCCCCTCTCATTTCACTCCACTCCACTCCATACACTCTCCTACCTATCCACTCTCATCTCACTCTAATCCCCTCCAAACAATCTCCTAACTCTCCCCTCTAATCAAAAAGACGAAGAAAAAGCTCCACCGTATAGCCTTTAACAGTCTGTAGGGGCAAGTGCTGTTAGCGAACACCTATGAACGGTGGCACGGCACATGAGGGGGTGGGTGGCCAGCACCACGCCCGGCAGCCTGTGTCCCCAGTGGCGATGATTTTAACACACTGCACCAGGTACTCATTTGAGGCTGAGTCGACCTAGGGGAGGCCCAGAACCGGTTCAGATAATGGTGTTAGCCGTGAGTGGGAATCGAAGCGGGGTCGCCGGTTCATAGTGCAACGCGCTAACCGCTACAGTACCGCTCCCCTCGTATCTCACTCCCCTCCATGCACACTCCTACCTCTCCCCCAGAGCCGTTGCGTTGACTTAACCAAGATGACCTAACCAAGAAGACCTAACCGAGGTGACCTAGCAAAGGTGACCTAACAAAGATGACCTAACAAAGATGACCTAACAAAGGTGGTCCTAACAAAGATGACCTAACCAGGGTGACCGAACCAAGGTGATCTAACCAAGTTGGAACTAACCAAGGGCAAACTAAATTTCGATTTAGAGCTTTCGTGACTGCAGGGATTCATCTTCTTGGTTCTTTCGGTAAAGTCACGTAGAAGGGAAATAATAAAATAATAAAAATAAAACATAATAACATAATTCTCACGACGTTTCGGCCACAACGCAAGCAGCCGTCCTCAGGTGAAGAACAGGTCTGTCGGAAAGACAGCGTCTGAATGAAACACCACCAGGCTTGGAGCGTATATTTAAGCTGGGTTGGAGGGGGAAGAGCGCCATGACAAAATAATTGCATATCAAGAGGAATTTAGCACATTTATGGGAAATGCAGATATGGGATTAGTCATTACTTGTGGAATGCGTAGGAGGTGGGGGGGGGGTTTCAAAGTCATAATATGCCCGTGCATTATGCAGGATTAGCAGCATCAAAGGGAGGGCTAGGGTTAGCATTAATAAAGGGAAGGAATGTTAATAGTATGGAGCTGCAGAAACTAAACCACCACGTAAAAAATTAAAGTATAAACTACATCAGTATCATCAATATACTAAATATACTCTCCAATAAGCGGAGCTATTAACAGTAAGTAATACATTACAATTCTTTGTCGCAAAAAATATAATATGCTTCCAGATAAACTTTTTTCTCTTACATCACACGGGTCTACCCCGTACTATATACTGCCATAGACAAACCCAACATTACATTATATACTGTATTACTATACACCACCCTATACCTTAGACTGTACATTGTAATATTACACTATGTATTATTCTACCCACCCTACTGTATACCACACTGCTGTATATTCACTATACAATTACGATACTATATATAACCTTATACATTGCATTAAACATTACACTTTTATACTATTTATTATTATACAATCTGCTATACACCATACCATTGACCGTCGCGTGAAAGGTACTAAGAGGAAGCAATGAAATATGTCAATGGGAGAGTGGTGGTTGGAGACTTGCAGCGGAGCAGAGAATCCATTCCCTGCGGAGAATAAAAGATATACAGTCAATGCCAGTGAGTAGACTGCGATCTGAAAGTCACCGTAAACGTGAACACAATCAGTTAAGATCCGAAATGGTTTATTACGTCCTTCCAATGATTGCTGAGCCAGAATCCATCTTCTCGATTGAAATTGTCTCTGTGTTTGTATATGTGGATCGCCTCATGAACGAATCTCTCATGGTAGCCAGATGGCTTGCAGAGAACCTCTGTCTTGGAAAAGTCAATATCATGTGAGCCCACTGAATTGTAACAGTGATCTGCAACGGCTGAGGTGTTTGTCCTACCGTGTTTCAGGTCTGCTTTATGTTCATGGATGCGGTCCGAGACATGTCGTTTGGTTTCTCCAATGTAACTGCTACCACAGAGGAAACTTAGTTTGTAGACGCCAGGGTACTGTATGTCTGGAACCACATCTTTTACAGATGGGACCAGATCACGGAATTTATGTACTGTGTTGAATCGGACCTGAATCTTGTATTTAATCAGGATTTTGGAGATCTTTTTTGTGACCCCAGCAATGTAGGGTAAGGTGATATTTTTGAAAGGCTCCTCAACAGGATCCTTCTTGATGGTTGGAGTGATGGCTTTGCGGATTGTGTAGTCGGAGTAACCATTAGCCTTAAGAGCTTGGCGTACGTGCTTGAGTTCACTGACAATGTGTTCCTGGTCGGAGATGCATTGGGCTCTGTGGTGTAGAGTCTTGATGAGGGAATTCTTCTGGGATGGATGGTGGTGGGAATCCGGTTTTAGGTAAGCATCCGTATGGGTGGCTTTCCTGTAGACAGAATGGCTCATTGAACCATCAGGTCTTCTTTTAATTAGGACATCCAAAAAGGGTAGCTTTCCATCTTTTTCGACTTCCATGGTGAATCTGATGGCTGGGTGTATGGAATTGATGTGGTCGAGGAATTGGTCTAGAGCAAGCCGGCCATATGGCCAGGTAACAAAAGTGTCATCTACGTACCTCTTCCATAAGGGTGGGCGTAGAGTGGCAGTCTGGATGGCGTCAGTCTCAAATTTCTCCATGAAAACGTTGGCTACAACCGGAGATAGGGGGGAGCTCATTGGGGTGCCCTCAGTTTGTTTGTGGAAAGTTCCATTCCACTGCCATCATGGACAAAATAGAATACAACAACAAAATTCAATAACTACTCAACGATGGCAGCTATACAAAAATAAAAGAGACCCCACCAACAGCCTCGTCATTAAAACCAACAAAATCATTTCTGATTCAACCGCATTAATTGATCAAACCAAACAGTTCTCGTTGAAACCTTCTGCAGCCAGGCCACCAAGATTATATGGCTTGCCAAAGATACATAAAGAAGATACACCCGTTCGTCCCATTGTCTCTACCATCAACTCCCCCACCTACAAACTGGCTCGTTTCTTGTCTGAATATCCTGCGACCTTTCACTGGAAAAACCACCTCTGCGGTACTAAACTCTACTGACCTGGTATCGACAATCAAGGGAATTTCCCTGTCCCCAGACGACCTGCTTGTCAGTTTTGTTGTGGTTTCCTTATTCACAAAAGTTCCTGTACCTGACACCATCGCAATCATTGAAGACTTGGTTCATCAAGGACTGAATACTGGGGTACCCTCCCTGGTGAGACACTGCTTAACCAATACATACTTCACCTGGAATGGAACTTTCTACAAACAAACTGAGGGCACCCCAATGGGCTCCCCCTATCTCCGGTTGTAGCCAACATTTTCATGGAGAAATTTGAGACTGACGCCATCCAGACTGCCACACTACGCCAGACCTTATGGAAGAGGTACGTAGTTGACACTTTTGTCATCTGGCCACATGGCCGGCTTGCTCTAGACCAATTCCTCGACCACATCAATTCCATACACCCAGCCATCAGATTCACCATGGAAGTCGAAAAAGATGGAAAGCTACCCTTTTTGGATGTCCTAATTAAAAGAAGACCTGATGGTTCAATGAGCCATTCTGTCTACAGGAAAGCCACCCATACGGATGCTTACCTAAAACCGGATTCCCACCACCATCCATCCCAGAAGAATTCCCTCATCAAGACTCTACACCAGGGGTCCTCAAACTACGGCCCGCGGGCCACATGCGGCCCGCCGAGGACATTTATCCGGCCCGCCGGGTGTTTTTGCCGCCGCTGCCTGTCTGTTACTTTTTTTCTGCATGAGAAGGACGGTCATTGGTGGAAGAGGGAGAGGGGGCGGAGTTTCCCCCAATCAGACTGCATTGATGGGCAGTGCAGTCTGTATGTCTCTGTGTGGGCAAAGTTATTACTGGTATATTGTTTTTGTAGCGCTGTATATATTGGTATTTTACTAATAGTAATTTTGACTCCCTAGGAAACAATGATGTCAAGAAAGAGAAAAATTGACTCGGAGTGTAGGATATTCAAAGAACAGTGGACTTATGATTACTTTTTCATGCAGTACAAGGAAAGAGCTGTGTGTCTGATATGCCAGAATATAGTGTCTGTGTTCAAAGAATACAATTTACGTCAACACTATAAAACTCAACATAAAGATAAATATGCTTGTTTGGTCGGAGAAGTGAGAAAAGATAAAATATTAAAACTGAAAAATACATTAACAACTCAGCGAAATAGTTTTGTGAAGCAGAAGCAGCTAAATATTTCATCACTGCGAGCAAGTTTTCAAGTTGCCAAGCTAATAGCGTGCACTGGCAGACCATTCGTGGAGGGAGAATTTGTTAAAGAATGCCTTCTTTCTGTTGCCAAAGAGATGTGTCCAGAGAAGGCCGATTTATTTAGTACAGTGAGTCTTTTAGGACCTACAATTACACGGAGGATTGAAGAAATGGGAGACAATTTGCATCAGCATTTGCAAAACTCCACAAAAAAACTTTCCTATTTTTCCTTGGCACTCGACGAAAGCAATGATGTTCGTGATTCTGCACAACTTCTAATTTTTATTCGTGCGACGAATGACTTTCGAAGTCACAGAAGAGCTTGCTGCACTGCAAAGCATCAAAGGAACAACTACAGGAGAGGATATCTTTCGATTTAAAGCTTTCGTGACTGCAGGGATTCATCTTCTTGGTTCTTTCGGTAAAGTCACATAGAAGGGAAGTGATAAAATAATTCTCACGACGTTTCGGCCACAACGCAAGCAGCCGTCCTCAGGTGAAAACCAGGTCTGTTGGGGAGACAGCGTCTGAATGAAACAGCACACGAGCTTGGAGCATATATAAGCTGGGTTGGAAGCGGGGGAAAGAGCGCCTTGACAAAATAATTTCAATATCAAGAGGAATTTAGCATATTTATGGGAAATGCAGGAATGTGATTAGTACTACATATGCCCGTGCTGCATATGTAGTACTAATAACATTCCTGCATGTCCCATAAATATGCTAAATTCCTCTTGATATGCAAAGTATTTGTCAAGGCGCTCTTTCCCCCGTTTCCAACCCAGCTTATAAATGCTCCAAGCTCGTGTGCTGTTTCATTCAGACGCTGTCTCCCCTACAGACCTGGCTTTCACCTGAGGACGGCTGCTTGCGTTGTGGCCGAAACGTCGTGAGAATTATTTTATTATGTTTTATTTTTATTATTTTATTACTTCCCTTCTACGTGACTTTACCGAAAGAACCAAGAAGAGAGGATATCTATGAAAAGGTTTGCCAAACTGTGAATGGTTTGGAGCTGAACTGGGCTAAACTAGCCAGTGTGACAACTGATGGTGCTCCTAGCATGGTGGGGTCTAAGAAAGGAGTAATTGCTCGCATTAACCAAGAGATGGACAAACATAACCATTCTCATCCAATAGCCATACACTGCCTCATCCACCAACAAGCGCTGTGTAGTAAATCACTGAAGTGGGACTCGGTTATGAAATTTGTGGTATCTTGTGTTAACTTCATTAGAGCTCATGCACTAAACCACAGACAATTTCAGGCATTTCTGTCTGAGCTAAATGTTGACTATGAAGATGTTCTGTATCACACAGAAGTCCGTTGGCTGAGTCGAGGGAGAGTTTTGAAACGTTTCTATGACTTACTTTTACAGATTACAGCTTTTCTGCTTTAAAAAAACAAAGAAGTACCAGAGCTCAATGAAGCAGAATGGAAATGGCACCTTGCCTTTCTGACAGACGTAACAGAGCTACTCAACAGTTTCAATGTGCAACTTCAAGGAAAGGGGAAGCTCATCTGTGATATGCAATCACATGTCAAAGCATTTGAAGTAATATTAGGCCTCCTCATCAAACAAGTGAAGGAGGAAAACTTCTGCCATCTCCCCACAACTCAAAATCTGTTAGCGGAAAAACCATTGGTTGCATTCCCAAACAAAACGTGTGGATTCACTGGAAAAATTGCAAAAGGAGTTCCAATTTGGATTTAAAGAGCTTCATCTCCATGAACAGGACATACAGCTTTTCCGTAACCCATTTTCTATTGACATTGAAAATGTGGATACAATTTACCAAATGGAACTGGCTGAACTGCAGAATTGTGACTCTCTGAAAGACGCATTCAAGTCAAGCAGCCTTCATAATTTCTATGCATCTCTCCCCTCTGAGACATATCCTCATCTCAGGAACCATGCACTCAAAATGGCAACCATCTTTGGCAGCACTTATGTCTGTGAACAGACTTTTTCCAGAATGAAACATTTGAAATCTCCAACCAGATCTAGACTAATGGATGCACACTTGCATCACTTGTTACGACTAGCAGTGACAAATATGGAACCGGACATTGACCATCTCATTAGCCAAAAGCAGGCCCATAGTTCCCATTGAAATACTGGCAAGTTTGTTGATTTAACTTTACTTGTTCTTCATTTTAAATATTGTATTTGTTCCCGTTTTGTTTCTTCACTTCAAAATAAGATATATGCAGTGTGCATAGGAATTTGTTCATAAATTTTTTTTAACTATAGTCCGGCCCTCGATCGGTCTGAGGGACAGTGAACTGGCCCCCTGTTTAAAAAGTTTGAGGACCCCTGCTCTACACCATAGAGCCCAATGCATCTCCGACCAGGAACACATTGCCAGTGAACTCAAGCACGTACGCCAAGCTCTTGAGGCTAATGGTTACTCCGACTACACAATCCGCAAAGCCATCACTCCAAACATCAAGAACGATCCGGTTGAGGAGCCTTTCAAAACCATCACCTTACCCTACATTGCTGGGGTCACAAAAAAGATCTCCAAAATCCTGATTAAACACAAGATCCAGGTCCGATTCAACACAGTACATAAAATCCGTGATCTGGTCCCGTCTGTAAAAGATGTGGTTCAAGACATACAGTACCCTGGCGTCTACAAACTAAGTTGCCTCTGTGGTAGCAGTTACATTGGAGAAACCAAACGACATGTCTCGAACCGCATCCGTGAACATAAAGCAGACTTGAAACACGGTAGGACAAACACTTCAGCCATGCAGGTCACTGTTACAATTCAGTGGGCTCCCATGACATTGACTTCTCCAAGACAGAGGATCTTTGCAAGCCATCTGGCTACCATGAGAGATTCGTTCATGAGGCGATCCACATATACAAACACAGAGACAATTTCAACCGAGAAGATGTATTCTGGCTCATCAATCATTGGAAGGACGTAATAAACCATTTCGGATCTTAACTTATTGTGTTCACGTTTACGGTGACTTTCAGACCGCAGTCTACTCACTGACATTGACTATATATCTTTTATTCTCCGCAGGGAATGGATTCTCTGCTCCGCTGCAAGTTTCCAACCACCACTCTCCCATTGACATATTTCGTTGCTTCCTCTTAATACCTTTCACGCGACGGTCAATGGTATAGTGTATAGCAGATTGTATAATAATAAATAGTATAAAAGTGTAATGTTTAATACAATGTATAAGGTTATATATAGTATCGTAATTGTATAGTGAATATACAGCAGTGTGGTATACAGTAGGGTGGGTAGAATAATACATAGTGTAATATTACAATGTACAGTCTAAGGTATAGGGTGGTGTATAGTAATGCAGTATATAATTTAATGTTGGGTTTGTCTATGGCAGTATATAGTACGGGGTAGACCCGTGTGATGTAAGAGAAAAAAGTTTAGCTGGAAGCATATTATATTTTTTGCGACGTAGAATTGTAATGCATTACTTACTGTTAATAGCTCAGCTTATTGGAGAGTATATTTAGTATACTGATGATACTGATGTAGTTTATACTTTAATTTTTTACGTGGTGGTTTATTTTCTGCAGCTCCATACTATTAACATTCCTTCCCTTTATTAATGCTAACCCTAGCCCTCCCTTTGATGCTGCTAATCCTGCATAATGCACGGGCATATTATGACTTTGAAACCCCCCCCCCACCTCCTACGCATTCCACAAGTAATGACTAATCCCATATCTGCATTTCCCATAAATATGCTAAATTCCTCTTGATATGCAAATTATTTTGTGATGGCGCTCTTCCCCCTCCAACCCAGCTTAAATATACGCTCCAAGCCTGGTGATGTTTCATTCAGACGCTGTCTTTCCGACAGACCTGTTCTTCACCTGAGGACAGCTGCTTGCGTTGTGGCCGAAACGTCGTGAGAATTATTTTATTATGTTTTATTTTTATTATTTCATTATTTCCCTTCTACTTGACTTTACTGAAAGAACCAAGAAGATGAAAGGGCAAACTAACCAAGGTGTCCTAACCAAGATGACCTAACAAAGGTGACCTAACCAAGTTGGACCTAACCAAGGGCAAACTAACCAAGATGACCTAACCAAGTTGGACCTAACCAAGGGCAAACTAACCAAATAGGACCTAACCAAGGGCAAACTAACCAAGATGACCTAACCAAGGGCAAACTAACCAAATAGGACCTAACCAAGGGCAAACTAACCAAGATGACCTAACCAAGGTGACCTAACCAAGATGACCTAACCAAGGTGGAACCTAACCAAGGTGGAACCTAACCAACGTGACTTAACCAAGGTGGACCTAACCAAAGATGACCTAACCAAAATATCCTAACCAAGGTGGATGCACGCCGATTGCCCAGGCTTGGCGACCGCCCTCGGTGCTCCCGGCCTCGCCGACGCCGCCCTCACCCGGTCACGTGCAGCTGCATGACGTCCTCATCCCACGTGGGGTCACGGCACAAGTCGGCCGACCTCAGCACCACGCGGTCCCTGCCGTCGTCGAAGGGGCCGAAGTCCCTGGAGAGCGCAGCGTGGAAGTAGAGGCGCATCGTCTCGGCCCGCTCGTCTCCCGGCGCGCTGCGTGGTGGTGGTGAAGAGAGGGGATGGGGGGGGGGGGTTAGGTGGGGTGGGGTTCCACATGGCGGTTCACTCAGGAGGTTTGCCCGTCGAGTCGCTCGTCCACTCACTCGCTCCGTCACTCAACCGCAGTCAGTAACTCGCTTCTTGAAGCCTCCATCCCCACTCTGACCTCTCACCTCACTCTACTCCCCTCCACGCACTCTCCTACCTCTCCCCTGGTGCGGTGAGTAAACATATCCACTGGGGAGACAAAGGCGGCCGGGCGTGGTGTTGGCCACCCACCCCCTCGTGTTCTGTGCGAGCCTTCATAGGTGCTCGCTAACAGCACTTGGCCCAACAGTCTGCTACAGGCTACGCGGAGGATCTTTGTGTGTGAGGGGGGGTGCAGTGGCGCAGCTGTTAGCACACTGCACTACAAACCCATCGACCCAACTTCAATTCACGACCAATGAAAAGTGGCGGATATTTGAACCGGTCGTGGGCCTCTCCTAGGTCGAGCACCTTTTATTGGCGTGAAAAACATCAGCACTGCGGGTTGAGACAAAGGCGGCAGAGCGTGGCGCTGGCCACCCACTCCCTCGCGTGCAATTCCGGCCTTCATAGGCGCTGCTCCCTATAGTGGTCTTGCCCCGACAGTCTGTTAAAGGCTATACGGGGGAGCTTTGTGTGGCGGTGGTGGTGGTGGTGGCGTGCAAAAAGTTAAACGCGAGGTGAACAGTGCTGCCTCGGGTTACCAGATGCCATGAAGGACAGTGAAGTGCAGCACTTAAATATACGATTCATAGGCATAGCCTTGCACTCTCGTGGTAGTGCCTTATGTCGACGCCGCACCCACTCAATCTCAAGTGCCCGTTTGATTGCATACCTTTGGTTGGCGAGCGAACCGCTAGATGTGCTGTCTCCTTCACCTTCATGTGCGGGGTCAGCGCCGGGCCCCTGTGGGTTGCTGCTCTCCCGACCGTGAGGAGCCTCGTCTGCGCTGTGAGCCGGAGGTCCACCCTTTGAACGTGGCATGGCAGCGTCAACTGGGGATCCACCTTTCTGTGATGACATCTGAACATTGAGTCCACCTTCTTGAGATGAGATCTGACCATCAGTCGTGAGTCCACCTTCTTGAGACGAGATCTGACCATCAGTCATGAGTCCACCTTCTTGCGATGACATCTGACCATCAGTCGTGAGTCCACCTTCTTGAGACGAGATCTGACCATCGGTCGTGAATCCACCTTCTTGAGATGAGATCTGACCATCAGTCGTGAGTCCACCTTCTTGAGACGAGATCTGACCATCAGTCGTGAGTCCACCTTCTTGAGACGAGATCTGACCATCGGTCGTGAATCCACCTTCTTGAGACGAGATCTGACCATCAGTCGTGAGTCCACCTTCTTGAGACGAGATCTGACCATCAGTCGTGAGTCCACCTTCTTGAGACGAGATCTGACCATCAGTCGTGAGTCCACCTTCTTGAGACGAGATCTGACCATCAGTCGTGAGTCCACCTTCTTGCGATGACATCTGACCATCAGTCGTGAGTCCACCTTCCTGAGACGAGATCTGACCATCAGTCGTGAGTCCACCTTCTTGAGACGAGATCTGACCATCAGTCGTGAGTCCACCTTCTTGAGACGAGATCTGACCATCAGTTGTGAGTCCACCTTCTTGAGACGAGATCTGACCATCAGCCGTGAGTCCATCTTCTTGCGATGACATCTGACCATCGGTCGTGAATCCACCTTCTTGAGACAAGATCTGACCATCAGTCATGAGTCCACCGTGAGATGTCTCACAATCATTTCCTAGAGCCGATGTGTGGTAACTCTGCGTGTCCCTCTCTTGACGTGAAGTGACAATGTCGTCTTCACCAGATGTCTGCACCTCAGCTTGAGCTGAAGTCTCACAATCACCATGACCGCTCCGTTTCAATGACATGCGATCTTCAGCTGAGATTCCGGCATCTCCCCCCGAAGCCTGAGCATCCATCTCGATCTCATCATCGATCTTGATCTCATCTTTCCTTACGTGTCCTTTCTTGATCTCATCGTCTCCCTTCGGACCGACATCATCCTTGGGCTGAGCATCGTTCCTGGGCCTGACCCCTCCAGCCGAAGCCACGCCCTCTCTCCGGGAGGTGATGCCTTGCCTGCGTGAGGTCGCCCTGATGGTGGAGGGGCAACCCCTCACTTGCGTTACTTCCCTCTCACCGTCAGCCAACAGCTTTTCGAAAACCATCCGGCGCCGTTTCACGATCCCTTGAGAGAGAAGAAAACCAACGGATCAGCTTGGGGGCACCAGAGATCACACCGCGGTCTCTAGCGCAGCGAAGTGATGCTCTCAGCCTGGTCACCAGTGACTCACACAGAGTGTCCATCGAATCACATGGAGATCCCACTGAGTCACACAGAGATCTATAGACTCACACAGAGACCCGCAGACTCACATGCATACCCATAGACTCACATAGAGATGCATAGACTCATAGAGAGACCCACAGATTCACACAAGCCCATAGACTCACATGGAGACCCATAGACTCACACAGACCCACAGACTCACATAGACTCACATAGAGGCGTATACACTCACATAGAGACCCATAAACTCACATGGAGAATCATAGACTCACATGGAGACCATAGAATCACATAGAGACTCATCTAATCAGAGTCCCATAGACTCATAGAGACCTATAGACTCAGAGACCCACAGACTCACACAGAGACCTATAGACTGACAGATACCCATAGGATATCAGAGAGCGTCTAGACAAATCTTCATCCTTTTGGTCCCATGTCAACAGAGTCGTGAGAAGCTCGTTTTTCCACCTGAGAAACATATCCCGGCTCTGTCACATCCTTGACACTGCAGACACCGAAGACTGCTTAACACGTCAGTAGCATTTCACGACCAATATCATCCTTGATAGAGGGTTTTTTTGGGGGTTAGGTCACATAAATAGATGTGTTGCTAAACCTGCCACCACCCGACACAAACAAGCAGCAAGGTTTGTCACCTAAATCAAAAGTGCCATTTCGTTACTAGTGTGGTGGTGGTATTGAAACGCGCGCACACCAGCTCCGGTTAACTCCCATTACTTACCTGTGCAGGGCAGTTGTGATATCCCTAGCCGGGGCCCCTCTCGGGGGGAGGGGGCTGGGGGGTGTGTGTGATCCCACAGAACCCCGCCCCTCGGTGAGGAATTGTATCAAAGGCGAGACCCTGAGAGAGAGAGTTCAGTTGGGACAAGCCGAAGACGAAGAACCAGCTGAAGACCGAAGTCCAGCTAGATAGACCCTGGGACTCCTCTGACCCGCTGTCCTTCAAAGGGCCGGGCAGAGCAAGCCAGTGGTGCAACCCAGAGCCTCGGAGCCGATGTCCTTGTAAGGGCCGGATTCGTGTGGCTGGTGGTCGAGACCTGTGCCTTGGCTGGGCCAGGTCAGGTAGTCCCTTGAGAGTAGGCGACTCAGATTGGGAATACCTCCCTTGAGAGTAGCGGGTGAAGAGGTCGTTACCTCTTTGCATGTGAAGCTGTAATAAATACGTGTTGCCTCTTCTCAACCATCTCTGTCGTCACGGTGCCCACTACAACTGGGGTCAGAAGTGGTCCTAACTCCACGCCATGGATACAAGACGGACGATTCGTGTGCAGGAACCTGGGGAAGATGACGACTCTCCTGGGGCAGGACCGCCGAACTCGGGGAAAGAGGCCGGGACGATGCCGGCAGTTCAACAACTGCCACAGCCGCCAGACACGCCGCCACCATCGCGGGTGGCTCTGGGATGCTCACTCCCGCCTCGCCGAGTTACTCCTCACCGCTGCCTCCATACTGAAGGAGATAACTCGGGGAGGAGTGGGGGTTGCGGAGGAGTACGGAGAGAGCCGACGGCCAACGGCCGTTCCCGCCACTGGGACCGCGCCACAATTTTAATTTGCCGCCATGGCTGAGAGGAGTTCCGGCGGCAGCGGAAGCCAGGCGCACCACGTGGGGAGCGTGGACCAATCAACAGCCGCCGTGTCGCACGGAACATTCACGCGCATGTGGTCCTGAAACGGAAGCCACCCCTCATCACGAGCGCTTCGACTTCGGCGTCTAGCGGAACATCAGACGCCCAACCATCGGAGGAGGTCTTTGCCACTGGTCGACCCGGGGTGTAGGGGTCGGGTGGCTGATCGTCTCAGCACTCGGCGCGCAAGCAGGAGCAATGAGGACTGCCGCAGCCCTCGTTACCTGCTCCAACTGTGGCCTCTGGGGCAATGTTGCTTCGGGATGCCGGGCCCCACGACAGTGCGCATCGGGACCTCGGACGGACAACGACCCAAGCTCCAAAGTCGACACAGCATTCTCTGGCAAGTCGTGGCACCACACATGCTCGGCCCCCACACACACTCCACAAGACTCAACGCGCTGCACTGAACGGTTGTCGTGATTCGGGCGTCGGATCGTCGGGGGGTGTCGGGTTCGTACGGGCGCTCGGACCAGGTCAGTGGTCCGAGCTGGCCCATAGGGTGGTTGCCTCATCGGCCGGTTCGTCTGTGGTTACGGGATCCATCAAGGGTGTCAAGTTTCGCGTACTGATTGATACAGGGGTGTCAGCAACGATCATCTCCGACGTTATTTATAATATTTTTCCCATCCAATGTCGGCCATTGCAACCGGTTGATGTCCCATGCTATGCGGTAAACGGAGGATCGTTGGGGATCATTGGTCAAATCCGGGCGAAAATTTGCATTGGTAACATTAAATTATCCGGTCCAATCTTGGTCTCATCTTCTCTCGCAGTCCCATGTTTGTTGGGAACAGACTTTTTGGCTAAGATGCCGATTAAAATCGTCATCGACCAAGGATGCATTGAGCTTCCTTCAGGCCGACGAATGGCGTTTTTGATCTCCCCTACCAGCTTACGTACAGCCTGCTCAATGGTGCAAGCAGTGGTTACGGAGACGGTACGTGTACCGCCGGGGTCGCAAATGTTGGTGCCTCTCCAGTTGCGAAAACCTCTCGGCGTGGGTATGACAGATTATGGTGTCCTATGGGATCCATCCAATGCCGTGGTAAAAGGGTTGGACCTGGCGGTTGCGCAAACGCTAGTGCGGGGTGACAGGGACCCCTTCATCATGGTTCTCAATGCTGGATTGCGGACGGTTTTGGTTCCCCAAGGGACCGTGCTCACTCATGCGGCGCCGGCGCCCTTGGAGGAACCAGTGGTAGGGCATGTGGGTACTGGTCCTGCTCCGCATTCGGGCCATGATGAACGGTGGCTCGACTCGCTTCGTTCTGGATCCAGTGACCTGTCCGAGCCACAACATTCCATGTTGCACGCTCTTTTACTTGATTTTTTGGACGTCTTCAGCAAACATAAGTTTGACATTGGATGTACTAACTTACTGCGTCACCACATTCACACGGGTGACGCCGCCCCTATTCGCCAAAATCCGTTTCGGTTGAGTCCCGCCGAAAAGGATCATATCAAATTGGCCGTTAATGACATGTTATCTGCAGACATTATCTCCCCTTCCACCAGTCCATGGGGGGCTCCCATTGTACTCGTGAAGAAGCACGATGGATCCCTGAGATTTTGTGTAGACTGTCGTCGCCTTAACAAGATCTCTATGGCCGACGCCTCCCCACTTCCTAGGATGGATAAATCACTGGATGCTTTAGGAGGAGCACGGTATTTTTCCACATTGGACCTGCTATCAGGATTCTGGCAACTCCCTCTTGATGACGAGTCGAAATTGAAGATCGCTTTTCGGATGCCACAGGGCCTATTCCAGTTCAACCGGTTACCCATGGGACTTCACTCAGCTCCCGCAATGTTCCAGCGATTAATGGAATTGGTTTTAGCCGGGCTCCAATGGGACGCCTGTTTGATTTATCTGGACGATGTAATTGTCTTCAGCAGGACGTTCGAGGAACACTTCGAACGTCTGAGGGCTGTATTCATGAAGATGAGGTCCGCTAATTTGAAGTTTAAGCCACAAAAGTGCCACCTCCTCCGGGAGTCTGTGTGGTACTTGGGACACATAGTGAGTCGGTCAGGTATCTCCACGGATCCTGCTAATACGCTGTGCGTCAGTTCATGGCCTACACCCACTTCAGTCAGTGAAGTCCGTAGTTGAATTGGGTTTGCCTCGTACTATCGATGATTTGTCGCCAACTTTGCCACTATTGCAAACCTTTACACGCTTTGACAGCAAAGGGTGTGAAGTGGTCAGGAAGAGGAGGCCGCTTTCCGCTCCCTTCGCGATGCCCTGGTGAGTGCTCTGCCTCTAAGTTACCCTGATTTCACTGAGCCTTTTCTGCTCGACACAGATGCCAGCAACACCGGCATTGGCAGAGTACTCTCGCAGCTCATTGGGGGAGTCGAACGCGTCGTCGCCTACGGCAGTAGGATGCTGTCATCAGCAGAACAGCGCTACTGCATCACCTGTTGCGAGCTATTAGCTATCGTTTGTTTTGTACAACAATTTCGGCCGTATTTCTACGGACGACACTTCACCGTGTACTGACCATGCGGCACTGCAATATGCCCGTCGTGTTGAACAACCATTGGGACAATTGTCTCGGTCGCTGGAAGTTCTCCAAGACTACAATTTCACGACCACCTACTGTAAGGGTATTCGTCACACCAACGCGGACGCTTTGTCATGATTGACACCCGGCACTGAGTGTGCCTGTTTTCTTGGGTCGGGACGTTGCAAACCGCAGAGTGATGCCCCGTCCACAGTTCTGGCTGCTGCTCTGGATGTGCCAGTCCCTGAGATCCCTCTCTCGCCGGAAGGCAGGGATTCATTGCTCAATTGGACCCTTACCGATTGGGGCCGCTTCCAAATGGAGGACGTATCATTACTTACATTGCGTCATCGGGTGTGTGGATCCGCTAAGGGCGTGGTCGGGGTTGACTCTTGAATAGTGCGGGGTGGTCTTCTCATGCAATGGGACGCTAGGTCCCTTCGCTATAGGATCGTTGTGCCATCCGCTCTGTGGCGTAGGGCGATTCTGGCCATGCACGAGTGACTCCTGCATCTGGGGTCTCACAGGACCCTTGCCATGCTCCAGTTTGATTTATTTTGGCCAGGCATGGCAAGGGATGTGTCGAACATCCTTATGGGTTGTACTGAGTGCGCCCAGCGGAAACCACCACCCAAGGTGTCCAGTCCGCCTCTACAATCGATTCGGGTCACCCGCATCAACTAGCTCATTGCGCTCGACATTTTGGGGCCGTTCCCCGTGGCACCTAGGGGT